ACCTCTGTTGGCATCTAGATACACTGGCGGATTTGTTGGGGGTCAGGGGGGTCCTCCCCCCCCCCTTCGATTTCTATAAAAAAATCATACCAAAAGTCCCCTTTTCAAATCAGAATTTTGACTAGCTGAATAATAGTTCTAAACTATACCAAATGGCACCGTCCGCCCTGTAAAATACCAAAATTTTCCACCTCCCCCCTAAACCCGCCACCCCATGTCAAGGGCGTCAGGGGGGGAAGGGTCGGCTTCGCATCGACGCCCCCCTCCCCCTTCAGATAATGCTGGATCCGTTTCTGTTCCTAACGCAGAAGTTCTGAACTATCCTGTGTGCCACCAGTCCACATAGCAGTACTAGTACTGATGTTGGTGAATTTCCCTGTAAATAAAGGAATGGTGTTCTTGTAGGTCTACAATAAATCCAAATTACACCCCATTTCCATAGATTTTTAGATCGATCTATCCCTGTGGGGAGTCTCACTAGATTACTGTCAGCTTGGCCGGCTTAAGCGTCAGTCCCGCCTACTAAAAGCTGTAAGGGGGTAATTAACTATGGTGCCCGCTCGGCTGACTGCAATTTAGCGTGAACCCCCAGGGAGTTAGGTCGATCTAAAACTTAATATTTAGATCGATCTAAATCTCTGGGAAAGCACCCTAAAAATTTCATAAACATTTCAAAGATAACTGTTGTAAATTTGTAATATGATAATTCTCTCTCTCTACCCTGAGCGTCAGAGCAACGTAAAAGCTAGCTTGCTAAATATACCTTGTGGTGGAGTCGCTTTTTCTGGTATTGCTACTATGGGTTATATATGAAATCAAGATCGAGCTGGCAATACCGGAATCTAGAACCTAGGGTAACTAATTAGTTCCTATTCTTAAATTCCCCATTTGCCTTACAATTTAGGAATTAAATTTAAAATTAATTAGGATCTAAAAGTGACAAAAAAGTGCTTGAACGACATATTAAGAGTAAGTTATAAAAATTTACAATAAATTAGGATCTAAAATTGACAAAGTGCTTGAACGACAAATTAAGAGTGAATTATAAAAATCACAGAAGCAA